TTAGTTACTTTTTTGAAGCGGTACAAAACAAACGATAATATTTAACATATCTAATTAAATATTATCTACATCACAATATATAACATATGATCGGTAACATCTATTTGATCTAATATATATTAACGATTAAAGCACAGCATACAACAATTGTATTAAAAGAATCTAAAAACCAAGAAAAATATATAAATAATTAGTATATAACAAACTTACAAATTAAAAGCTATAACATAATAATATATCTCGAAAAGTGGTCATAAGACCTCAAACCAATACAAAAACCTTTAAGCTTGTTTTCTTTATGAAGTTTTTATGTGATTTGTATGCATGTCTACACAAAAGATTGATCCTTTTATAGTAAACGTTTCATTAAGTGTTTATTAATCATAATATAAATTATAAAACCTTTGAGTGGTAAATCATTATTAAGAAGACTTTTGAGTTGTATTAGTTAAAAGATGGGAGTTTCAAATGAATGTGGTTTGAGCAAAAATGATTTTATATAGTCTTGGTAGTTTCAAATGCATCATTATTAAAAAGACTTTTGAGTTGTATTAGTTAAAAGATGGGGGTTTCAAATGAATATGGTTTGAGCAAAAATGATTTTATATAGTCTTGAGAGTTTCAAATGCATGAGGTTTATGGAAAAATGCTAGCTTTATAAGATAAATAGATAGATTCAGTTCAATTCCCTAATACCCTCTAAAGATCTTGATAAACAATCCAATAAACTTACCCAAGAAAGATTCTTAAAAATGTATCTACCTCTTCTAATAAATAAACAGAACCTTAATTTGCCACATGACATCTTTCTACACTCTATACTTGATACATGGCATCTTCATGTTAACCCATTTTTTATTTTCCCGTTGAAATTCTTTTCTTTTCAATACGTTTCTTATTCTTCTTGATATATTCGGATCCCTTGAAATCTGGAATAATTTTTGCCCCTTCCTCCATATACATTACCTTCCTTTTAAATTTTCACATATCTACTTCTATCTTCTACGCTCCTTCTTTTACCAGACAACCTTAGATGGCCATCGTCCAATGATTATTGTTCAAGGTTGTCATCATGTTTCCATAAACGATTTCATGTAAGGTTTCTTCTCTTAAACTTTTATCGATTTGTGTAATTACAACCTCCTGTTTTTCTTGGTATCTTTTCTTGGTCTATGATAAGGCCATGGTCAATAACCCATTTACATAATTATTCATGTGATTGTTGTACACACTTATGTTATTGGCTAATTCACAAATTCTCTCTACATTGTCTACTACTTGAATTAGTGCAAAAACTGTGCTGGTTAATAAATGTAGGATGAATGCATATAAAGCGTTTGATAAAATGTCTAAGTGATAAAATCCATGGAAAATAGAAAAGTTCAGGTAGGTTTTTGAATGGTTTTACTTACCCTCATCTTCTTCTTCTTTGGGTTTTCCTTCTTGATGATTTCGTGACTTTTTGATCTCAACCTCTACATGTTGACCATGATGTTTGATGCTATGGATATCTATAAACTCAAACTGAAGAAGATGAGCCAAATGATCGTCTGTGTAAGTTTCTTTTTCCACCAAATATTTTCTGGAGTAGCATGATATCCTTGAAATTTGCGCCATTTTTTTCTCTGTAATCTCTGTCAACTTCATCTTCTCCACTTTATAAACCATACTTTTTATGGTATTATATACAATATGGTGGTTTTTTAACTGTTTTATGATGATGGAATTTCATTTCGATTGATAAAGTTCTTTCTTCAATGTTAGATTGTTTATATATAAAATATGGGAAATTATGTATTTTTGTGAGTTTTTGGTTTGAGTTGGATTTAATTTTACACTGCATACAATAGGAAAATGAAACAAAAATACATATTTAATCACTAAATTTATTTTGAGCTCTGTTTGTTTCTATTGGAGAGGGATGAGAAGATTGAAGAGGGATGAGAAGATTTTTGAAATCTATTAGTCAAATCATCCCCGAAAACATGAAGATAAATGTTTTAGCTTTCTCTAAAAGAAGAAATGGGCTGGTGTGTACAACAGGTAAAACTTTGATATATATATATATATATATATATATATATATATAATATATATATATATATATATATATATATATATATATAGACACACACCATGCTAATCCGAGTCACTGAATGTTAATTTCTCAGATTTTAGATCTCAAAAAAATAAATAGCTCAAGGTATTCTACGAATCACATAAATGTCCAGTTCATTTATGCATTTTCTTTAAACGATGACCATTTTTGTTAATATTGTTATAAATGGACCATTCCCATAATTTTGTATAGAGATATATCCGTAATTTTTAAAACCAGGACGAGTTATACATTCTGTCTAATAAAGATCCATTTTATGCATTTTTTATATCCGCATTATAGCAATCTACTTTTCAACTACAATGCTAAAATTAGGATTTCTTCAAAACTTCTATTTTGTATTATACAACAATCCATTTATGCATTTTTTATATCCGCATTATAGCAATCTCCGTATGTATGTTGTTAGTTAATCGTTATGTTTCAAAACTTTCATTTTGTATTATACAACAATCATTATACATTAAAATAATTTGTTACTTTTTCATTTTTTTGTTATTTTAAAAATATTTCACAACAGCCCTTGCCGGTATATACCCAAAAGTGCATACATGTATATCTTAGCATTTAAATATGAGCCATTTATGCATTTTTTTTAATACAATGACCATTTCTAGTAAATTTGTTATACAGGGGACTATTCCTGCAAATTTGTTAACAGGTACCATTTGGTATTTAAATAACATAAAAATTGCTTTGCATTTCAGTGGATTGCTATTATGTGTATCTTTTTATTTATTTATTTATTTATTTTTAAAGTATAATGTTGTAATAGGAATACATTAAAGTATAATGCTATAATTAACTAATCCATTAAAGTACATTGCTATTGAAACCATATCGTGTTAGTTTAATAATTTTAAAAGAAAATAGAGTATATAAACATTACATGAAGGGTGTCTTTCAAGAATATAAATGTAAATACTCAAATTGATATTTGTTTTTTAGTTGTAATATTGAAAGTACGATGTTATTTCCTTGAACTAACTCCACCAACAAATTAACGATCAGAGATCAATTCAATATTGACTTTTGGTTCCACAATATTGTTTATTTTATTCAGTGAATATAATAAACAGAAGAAATTTCTTAAACATAATTATATGTTTTTTTATGCACTATTATTGACACAATGTGGATAAAAAAGATAAAAACAATAATAATAATAAACTTATGTTTTGTTTATACAAATAGATTTTGTTTATATAAATAGATTTTTTCTTCCCTCATAAATTATCTCCAAAACTTTTTCAGATTTTAAGCATAAATCTTATCCTAAACTTACCATTATAAATCAAATCCTCCTATTAGATTAATTCTCATTATTTACGGCACCATCTTACATACTAATTAAAGAAGAATTTTTTTTCCTTGCACATCAACTATATTTTATAATTTGTTAGTTAATGATGAATTAAATAAAAATGTTTATTTTTTCTAATCGTTTTAAATATTATTTATACATAACCATTATAAATATACCAACCGTGGTTTCCACGGGTTATAACCTAGTATTTATTAAACAAAACTAAACATCAGGTTTTGGGTTTTGATTAATCTGATCCAGGGATAACTAGTTATCCAGGGACAACGAAAGTAGCAGGGATAAAGAAAAATATATTGGTTCCCATGGATGAAACTTCGAAAATGGTTGCTAAAAGTGAGATATTGATATGGTAATAAGGTAATTTAACAGGGCTTCAATAAGGTTTACAAAATAATACGACAATAGAAGCCGAGATAGATGATTTTACGAGAAAGGTCTATAGATAAACTATACAACCGCATGCTCTTTTTACATAATAGATACTTGAAATAGTAATTCAACAATCCTAACAACCCATATTTAAAGCCGCATAACTTAGCAGTAACTAAACCAAATAAACTATTTTTTGAGCCACAGACGTACACAAGACAAAGAACTACAATCTGGAAAAAGTTGCCTTATTCCGATCTCGTATGTATGAAGATTTTATGGTGGTTCAAAGTTAGAAAAAAAATATACAAAATGTTGAAATAGTTTTTAACAATCTTAACATCCCATGTTTAGGGTTGTATAACTCAGCCACATCTTAATCGATTAAGATTTTTTTTAGCCTAACATGTAGCCAAGATAGAGGAGTACAAACCGGGACAAAAATCAGCTCATACCGATCACATATGAAGATTTATGGTGGTTCAAAGCTGGACAAAAAAGTTAGAAAATGCTGAAATAGATTACAACAATCGTAACAGCCCCTATTTAGGGTTGTATAACTCAGCCAAATCTTAATCAATTAATCTTTTTTTTAGCCTAACATGTAGCCAAGATAGAGTACTACAATCTGGGAAAAAAATCAGCCCGTTATAAGGTCATATGAGGATTCTATGGCTTCTCAAAGTTGGACAAAAAATCTAAAAAAAACTGAAATAGTAAAAACAGCAGTAACAGGCCATGTTTAGTGTTGTATAACACATCCAATTCTTAATAAATTAAGCTGTATTTTGAGTCTAACATGTAGCCAAGACAGAAGACTACAACCTGGGAAAAGAATCAACTCGTTCCGAGATCATACGAGGAATTAATGGTTGTTCAAAGTGGGGCTAAAATTTAACAAAATGCAGAAAAAAAAAACAAACAGCTCTAACATCCCATGTTTAAAGTTGTGTAAATTGGTGAAATATTAACCAATTAAGCTATTTTTTGATCATAAGGGGTTAGACATTTTTTGATCTCGGACTAACATATCCAAACGTTACACATAAAACTCGTCTGCTTTGGAAAATCAAATTGAACCACAACAGAAATTATAGATGTAATGCATTAAAACGGATACTTGACATAAACCTAATTAAGAATCATGGATATTATCATACTTCATGTCTCTCCATTTCAATTTTGTCACGCACCATCCACTATCTCACACTCGGGAGGTGTTAACCAAACAAGACTGTCCACATACTCCACAACTTTATCTGCGCCAGATTTTTCCGAATAGCGTGGCCCCAAGATTTTAGCCTGTTCCGCAACTGGATCGTACAAAACAAGACGATTATCCTCTTCAATAACAAACACATTGTGTGATGTGAATCCAAATGGATATGAACCACCAATAAACTGTGAAAAAACATGGCATTTGACCCATGATTCAACCACCCCATACTCATTCATCACCCATGTTAGGAATTGAGACAGGGTACACGCAGCGGAAACACTATCACACACTCACAAACGAAACGAGAAAATAAAGCAATAAAGAACACAAGGATTTTACGTGGTTCGGATTCGGTGTAAATCCTACGTCCACGGGCTGCAACTAGAGAATTTTATTAAAACTCACAAGATTACAATTGGCTTGACACTCTACACTTGATGTTCTCTCAAGTTTTTGCACACAAAATATGCAAAACATACATGCATATATATAGGTATATTTGTGAGCCGCAATATGCACAAGATTGCCGCATAGTTTGAAAAAATAATTCTCATGCATGTGTTTGACAATTTTTTCCACCGTCCAATTATTTGCCGTCCAAATCTTTGACAGTCCAACAAATGAATTCAAAAGGTGTGCTCCATAATTGCATCGTCCATTTCATATTCAACTGTTTAATATTTCCAAGTTTCATTTATGGCCCTTGAACTTTTAGGAACTTGTCAATTTGTTCAAGACTCCATAAATCTTAACAATCTCCCACTTGGAGACTTGAACAAATTAGTCTTTCTCCGCCATTCAACTCTCAATTACTCCAGTAATCTTAAAAAACAACCAAGTCCTTCAAGCTTCCAGTTTCAAAGAACAAGCTAAAACTTAGTCTGATTTCTCTAATTGCAGCCGCCCCTCATCTTCAAGTACTAGAAGGGCCAGTTGAAGCTCCCACTAGCTCCAACTCAGTCGTGGCTAATCCCACCACCGACTCATCCTCTGTCTCAACCGGTTTGGACACTCCACCAGATCCAGAGATACACCGAGGACCACTAACACTCTCCAAACTTTGCAAACTTCCAACAAGAGAGAATTTTCCAGTCTTAGTCTTCAAAACCCAACGGCTCTTTGTAACTGTACCCGGGACACACCCCGTGCTCCCACTGTCACAGAATCCCCTGAATGGTTTAGAATTTCCGACTCGTTCAGCTAACATCCCCTTGGCTCCAGAATTCATGTTTGCAAAATGAACTCTCTTAGCATTAGATTTAGCGAACCAGATTTTGTTTTGCTTAATCGGGATGGTCATACTTCCCTCAGCAGGTACCTCAACCATATACAATGACCTACGCTTCAAACCTTGAGCAATCACCGAATTACCATTGACCACCATCCATTTACCACCACCAAACCTTACTTCCAGTCCTTGTTTATCCAGCTGACCAACAGAAATCAATTTTTTCTTCAGCTCTGGAATAACCCTGACATTCTTCAGGCTCCATGTAGTTCCTAATGAAGTAACTAGATCAATATCTCCCATGCTCGTTACTTGAAGCATCTCGTCATTTGCCAATCGTACATTCCCAAAATCTCCTTCTTTTAGATTCACCATCGTTTCCCCGTTGTCCATGGCGTGAAACGAAGCCCCTGAATCCATGACCCAAGAGTCCACAGAACTTTCCATACTGAGTAACAATGCATCATCCCCAGAAAAATTCTCAGCATCAGCAATGTTCAATTCTTTCTTTGGACATTGACTCTTAACATGTCCCACTTCTTGACAGTTCCAACATTTCACATTCTTCACAGTTCTAGAAGAACTTTTTCCCCGACTCCCACTGCTCCTACTATTCCTGCTATTCCCTCTACCTCTTCCGACATTTAATAAATCAGAAGAGGAAGATCCACCTTGATTCTTGCGTCTGATATCCTCGCCTAGAACCAAATCTCTAACCCCTTCAAAAGTCATACCACTGGTCCCCACAGAACTTGTAACAGCAGTAACTGTTCCGGACCAGCTACCAAGTAGAGAAGCTAGTAGCAGCGAAGCTTGAGTCTCATTATCAAATTTAATTCCCACAGATGATAATCTGGACATAATTGAATTTAGATTGTTAATGTGAACAGTAACTGAGCCTTCCTCATTCATCCTTGTAGTGAACAATTCCTTCATCAAGAACACCTTGTTAGCCGCCGATGGTTTCTCATACATATTTGACAGAACCTCCATCATACCACGCGCCGTGGTTTCATTCATGATGTTGAAAGCAACGCTCTTCGTCAACGACAATGTAATAACCGCCTTGGCTTTCTTGTCCTTTGAGTTCCACGCATCTTCAGCAGCTTTTTCCATTTTCTCCGGTTTGTCTCCGAGTACCACGTCCAAGTCTTTCTGACATAGCAATGCTTCTAATTGCATTTTCCACCAGCTAAAATCAGAACCATTGAACCTTTCGATTATAACCTTGTCTTCAGCCATTACGGCAAACAAAAAAAAAATTAGGTACACTCGTGTGTGACAGAAAAAACGATCGTACCCTCCAAAACCTCGCTAACCAGGCTCTGATACCAATTGTTAGGAATTGAGACAGGGTACACGCAGCGGAAACACTATCACACACTCACAAACGAAACGAGAAAATAAAGCAATAAAGAACACAAAGATTTTACGTGGTTCGGATTCGGTGTAAATCCTACGTCCACGGGCTGCAACTAGAGAATTTTATTAAAACTCACAAGATTACAATTGGCTTGACACTCTACACTTGATGTTCTCTCAAGTTTTTGCACACAAAATATGCAAAACATACATGCATATATATAGGTATATTTGTGAGCCGCAATATGCACAAGATTGCCGCATAGTTTGAAAAAATAATTCTCATGCATGTGTTTGACAATTTTTTCCACCGTCCAATTATTTGCCGTCCAAAACTTTGACAGTCCAACAAATGAATTCAAAAGGTGTGCTCCATAATTGCATCGTCCATTTCATATTCAATTGTTTAATATTTCCAAGTTTCATTTATGGCCCTTGAACTTTTAGGAACTTGTCAATTTGTTCAAGACTCCATAAATCTTAACAACCCACACCTCGTATCCTTCGTTGAGAAGAAGCCGTGATGTCACACAAAGCTTTCTGGATAAAACTCCTAAATCGTTTGAGCGATAGTCATCAACTGTAGAATCTGGAAGAGGTATCTCACGGAATGTCTCTGAACCCAAATCAAATGCCACTATCCTTTCTGAATCATACGTCTTACCAATATAGCCAAGCCAATGAAGATGGCCATCATGGCCATCTGCACAAACACAATCGCCATCAATAATGTTTGTGATGTGCGAGGGAAACCTTGCAGTGATCAACTCCCATGAACCCCTTCTCATGCTATATATCTCAACTTGCAGCCACCGGTTAACGAGATATATGGGTGGTTCAGTAAGGCCTGTAAGTTTGACAACTTTGTAATCATCTGTTTTGGGATCAAAGCCAAACCGTAAATAGATTTCGCTAGAATTATTCTCATTGCAGGGTATGGTATATGGCGGGAGAGTTAACATGGCAGATAGAGAAGGGTTCCAGATGTGAATCATATAATCACCATCTGCAAAGCATATTAAGCCATTAACAGCACCAATAACTTTGATGCTCTTTGTATATTCAAATCGGGGGTTAACTGGAAGTTTGATGAAATTAGTGAGTTCGAGATGGGGGAATCGACATGGGTGTGCTGTGAATGGTGAAGAGCGATAGAAGACCAAGATAATTTGATCGTTGTTATGGATGGAACGATGGAGGTGGGATTTTACAAAGGAGGATTGAGATAAAAGAGCATTCCAAGATTTGGAGACAGATCTCATTTGAGCAAGTTGTTTGGCAAATAAGCGGATAAATATGTTTACTAAAACCTCCCCTGGGAGATTCTCCATAGTCGCTGGGTGTTGTAGTGAAACCATTAGTGTTTTTGGAAGGTCTGTTACAATCTCAGAATGTGAAGCAATCTGCTCTTCAAGAACCTAAACATGATAACATATTGTGCTTAAAAATCAAATCATGGACGCATGGCTGAGTATCAAGCAACAACAAAACCATCAAATTGCATATGCTAAGCTATTGCTATGCTTATAAATGATGGGCATGGAAATATTACTCACTCTTGAACCGACATCAGAAGCATGGAAGTTGTCCCTTTCGTCTCCATGGTTTTTCAGTGAGCCGTTTGTTGTTGATGTTTCAAGCCTTAAAAGAGGAGATGGTGACTCCTCGATGGTTCTTGATTGCAACAACGCCATCAAGCGTTGGGTTTCAGACCTGTAGCAGCAGTCGATAAATAACACATCAGTAGTGGCAGAATGATTCCAGAGAATGAGACAGAGACACCAAATACCCTTACTGGATACACTTTCAACACCAACGTCAATTTACTTTTATGTTCATGTTCATGTTCATGTTCATGTCCATGTCAGTAGCACTGCGGAGTTTACCCAGTGATTGATGCAATTACAGTTTTAATACCTCATCAAAATCAAGTTTTTTACCATGTATGTTATGAAAACATACTGCAGCTTATTGATGAATGAGGACAACCCTCAAGTTCCACTATGCACGATGAAGTAACAAAAAAAATATCATCACCTAGAGCATAAATAAAGGCATAGTAAGATTGTACTAAAAGAAAGACCGACCTTGTAAAGGTCAACTGTTTCACCATTTGTTCAAGCTCTGATATCCCACCTTGATGAGTGCTTAGTTCTGATGCTCCAGTTGAGTTCTCTAGCTAAGGAAACCAAAAGTGCTTCCAGGTTACAAAGGTTTCAGACAGAATGAATGGACAACCCAATCGAGATTTGAGACAATTAATCAACTTGTACAAGAAATACTACAATCAACACTTAATCAAGTCACCTCTTACTTTTAATACTTAATTCTAATGACTCAAAGTATGGAATTATATTAATAAATTAACAGACGAGGTTTTTTAAATAACTTGTTTCGGACAACATAACAGATTCTTAGCCATATAGTCTAGATAAACTTACCAGATAGATTTCTGAACTAATGAAAACAAAGATAGCACAGTGAAGTGAAATTACCATTGGCCCTCTTAACCAATATTAGTAAAATAAAAAATCAAAAACTGATCTAAAAATAATATGTGAAAACCAAATGAAATTTGAAATTTTGCGATTAGGCAAAAATTGATAGCCATTATACCACATTTAATATGCGAAGCACACAATTCAAATGATTCATAAGCATGAAGTAAACAACTTACGTTTCGCCCTCCCTCCTGAGAAGCATTTTCAGGTTCTTCGTTAATCTCTGGTCACAAAAGAGCTTTTGTAAGGGGCATGCACGGAAAAATAAGTGAAGTAATACAAAGGATGTTTATCATCAAAATCTAAAGTTGTAGACAGGCAGAAACATTTACAAGACTGGCTCATCAGTGTTGATTATCTCTTATTGCAAGAAAAAATGATTTAAAGAATCTCCAAAAGATAGTTGGATGCTTAGATTCATACCTTGGTACTAAGACAATGATCATGTGATGATTAAATGGTTAGTGTAGTCTAATGTTATCGTTTGACCGCATGACGACCATGATTATGTTTCAGATAATTTATTTCTTCTCAAAATTAATCACAACTTATTTAATTTTCAGCCATTACATCGTAAAAAACAGCACATGCTGCCTCTACTTCAAGGCTCTTACACAATCAAAACGACCATATTAAAACAAATTTTGCACGACTCATAAATTTAAAAATCCAATTTAGCATATAAACAACTACTCTTTTTTCCACATGTTAGAGTCTACTAAGCAAAAAAAAATAAAAATTTAGAGAATATTGTTATTGCAAGCATGTGACTGAAAATCAAACCAATGAAAAAGTATATTAGATAGAAGGAAGGTCCAGGAGCTCACTCCACCACATAATAACATCACAATTGCTTGTTTCAAGCATCATCACTTCCTTTGACATAGGAACTCATAAACATACATTAAAACCAAAGTTCCATGACTACAACCTATTTTAGAAATCCATCCAAAAGTCTCTTAGATAGAAGGAAGGACTGTAAGACCTCAAGTGAGTAGGATGTGCATATTCATATGGAACCAAGAACTTCAATAAATGTGAATTATCCATTTACTTATGATAAACATATGTGCATATTCTTAAAAACCTTTTCATGATTCTGTCTTTGAGCAAATATAATCTAGGAGAAGTTATACTTTCTCGGTCGTTGAAAACCCAATGTTCACCACCTGGATAATGCCTAACCGGATATCCATTTTCTGTACCTATCAAACTTACAGACAACGCCTCTGTGGAAAAGTTGCCTCCAAAATTAGCAAGTGGCAAATAGTTCAGGGGTTATTTCCGTAACTTATCATTTACTATTCATAGTTTGACTATGAATAGTAATATATAAGAAATGTGAAATAATAATGGACGGAGACTTTGACTAATATATATGAATTAGAAGATGGAGGCGCAACAATTTTGGTCATAAATGGAGGCGCCTCACATTGCCAACCTTTTGACCATAAATAGTAATATATATCTATTTGTTATTCTAATTTGGTAGGCGCAAATTCTTTGGACGACATATGTAGTTCAATTCGTTTGGTATTCCTTTGGCTATAAATAGCCTAACCCATTTCATTACAATATAACCCCACAAACCAAATCAAATATATATATATATATATATATATATATATATATATATATATATATATATATATATATATATTGATACACCACCGTATATTTTAGCTCTCCCACTCTATTTGTAATCTCTTTCATAATCCCTGTAAACACTGCAAATTATAGTGAATTGTTTCTCGGCTTCCTCCGCCCGTGGTTTTTTTTTCCCGATTTGGGTTTTCCACGTAAATTCCTGTGTCTCTATTCTATTTATTTTATTCGTTTTCGTTGTGATTATTACGCTTTGATAATTTTTGATCCCATTCCGCATTGAGCTAATATTATTTAAGTCAATTTGGATCCGTCGTATTTTACAACAATTGGTATCAGAGCATCCAGGTTGTGATATTAGCTCGTTGGGATCATTTTATCAAGTAATTAATCATGTCTTCGGTAAAATACGATATTCCACTACTGGATCGTAACACCCGATTTCCGTTGTGGCAAGTAAAGATGAGAGACATTCTGATTCAGATGGATTTACACAAGGCGCTCTTGGGTTTCAATATGATGCCCGATACATGGACCGAAGAAGAAAAGGAGATGAAAGATCTGAAGGCTTTATCCCAGATTCGTTTGCACTTGTCAAACGATGTTTTGCAAGATGTTCTAAAAGAAACGTCAGCGGCTTCTTTATGGCTAAAGTTGGAGCAACTGTTGATGACCAAGAGCTTACCAACAAGTTGCATTTGAAGCAACGGTTGTTCAATCTCAAGATGATTGAAGGAGGCTCTTTAGCTGAACATATATCCACATTTAAAGAGTTAGTAAATAACTTAGAGAATATGGATGTTCAGTATGAAGATGAAGACTTGGCTCTATTCTTACTATCGTCGTTGCCAGAATCCTATAGCCATTTTCGTGATACTATTATCTATAGCCGTGACACTCTAGTTTTAGATGAAGTCTATAAAGCTTTGGATTCCAAAGAGAAGATGAAGCATATTACTGGTGGTGGTTCAAGTGATGCTAAAGCCGAAGGTTTGAATGCCAGAGGAAGAACAACAGAGAGAAGTAGAACTTCTCAATCTTCCAACAGAACCAGATCCAAGTCAAAAGGCAAACGAAAGTTTTGCAACTATTGTCACAAGAAGGGACATGTGCTTGAATAATGCTTCAAGTTGAAGAATAAAGAAAAAGAGAAGACGGCAGCAAATGGCAAACAAGCTAGCACTTCGGGTGAAGCCGATGTAGCTGAGGTTGAAGGTTGGGAGAACTTTTGACAGTTACTCAGATAAACTGGATTCCACTTGTGATTGGATACTCGACTCTGGTTGTACTTTTCATATGTGTCACAACAAAAGTTGGTTTTACACATTTGAAAAGGTTAACCAGGGCTATGTGTTGATGGGTAACAATACTACATGTCCAGTTCTTGGACATGGTTCAGTCAGGATCTGTATGTTTGACGGAGTTATTCGAACCATGGGGGATGTTAGATATGTTCCTGACCTCAGAAGAAACTTGTTATCTCTCAGTTCCTTTGACAAAAAGGGATACGAGTTTGCTGGTAAAGGTGGAGTTCTCAGGGTATTCAAAGACGGTTCCGACAAACTGAGAGCCAAATGAAAAACCTCAGATCTTTACTTTCTTGACGGGCAAACAATTTTGAGTGATGCTGCTGTTGTTTCAAAGTCTCTTTCTGATTCAGATCAGTCCCGTCTTTGGCACCTTCGACTCGGCCATATGAGTTTTCAAGGCATGTTAGAATTGAGTCGAAGAGGTTTACTTGGTCAACAAAAGATTGTTGATTTGGATTTCTGTGAAGACTGTGTATATGGCAAGGCAAAACGAGTAAGGTTTGCAAGTGGTATCCATACAACGAAAGGACCACTTGATTATGTTCACTCGGATTTGAGGCCACAGAGGTACATACACAGTATATGAATATGAATTAAGCTATGATTGTTTTAAGTGACTTTAAGTATGTATTGTTGGGTATTATGCAGGTGGTGCAACTGCAGAATTTTGTGTTTGAGCACTACCAAGACTATTATTGGAAACTCTAGATCATGCCACCATGTTTGTATTGGTTATGACTCTACATTTGAGACCATAAAGTATTATTTAATTTTTTTTAAAGAAAATTTACCTTTTTATTTCTATACTAATAACATTACAGTCCGCAAGATGCACTTAAAGAAGCATTCATGAACACAGATGTGACGTTCAGAAAGGAATTGAATTCTGAATGTAAATCTAAGAAAGATTATCATCCAGGCTATACAGGAATTTGTGATGTTATAGTTGAAAATAGGCTTTTTGTTTGGGTCTATCAAGACCACTATGACGGAGTTCATTGATGACCGATACACTGCACTTTCTGAGACTGCTACTGCTGCAGCCACTGCGGTCGTCACTACGGTAGGGATTGGCGCTGGGAGAGTCTTCCAGTACATGGAATTTGACAATACGAAAGCCCCTGGTGTTTGACGAGGTCAACGAACTGATCATTTCCATGAGGTGGCTGTCAGATGTTGGGGGATGTTTCTTTACTTGCTTCTGCCAAGCTGACCATAAGGTCAAGTGCACTCTGAACCTTCTTCGGTCTGGAGCGAACGATTGGTGGAGATTGGTGACTAGCTCGTACTCTTTAAAGCAAAGGGTTTTCGTGACTTGGGAGCAGTACTCTTGGATGTTTCGCTCGAGATATGTTCCATTGGAGGAGCAGAAGAGGCTGGCCTAGGTGTGACAACCATCAATTTCTGGACAAGTCAAAGTCAAATAAAGTCAACAAGTCAAACCGGTCAACTCAATTAACCTTGTATATTAGGGTTGACATTATGTTACTTCTGAACAAATAGCTATTTTAATAAGAAGTTATCACTTGAAAAATCCATATGTTCAAAATTCTCAAACCCTAATCAGGATAAGTGATGAAACTACTTGGTAAAACACTATCCCGTACCCCTCGGGGGCGTATAACACTCATAACGAGGCTTAACGAGGTTTACAAACCTTACGTAGTGAAGCTAAACATACAAAAAGGTCTCAAACGAAGTCTCCCTCAAATCTCTCTCGCTCTATCTCTCTCTACGTCAAATCTCTCCCAAATCTCTCTAAGTATGTGAAATCTCTCCCAAATCTCTCTAAGTATGATAAATCTCTCCAAGTATGTGAAATCTCTCCCAAATCTCTCTAAGTATGTGAAATCTCTCCCAAATCTCTCCAAGCATGTGAAATCTCTCCTAAATCTCTCCAAGTATGTGAAATCTTTCCCAAATCTCTCCAAATATATGAAATCTCTCCAAGTATGTGAAATCTCTCCCAAATCTCTCCAAGAATATGAAATCTCTCCCAAATCTCCCTACGCACCTTCCTCAGTCGAAAACAGGAGGAGAAAACCCAAAAGGACCCTCTTGGTCCGGAACCGGACAATTTCGCATCTCAGCTTCGGAATGCCTTAGCTTCGGACTCCAAACTTCGGAAAACATGAAAGAACTTTGGATTTTAACTTTTGGCTCCGGAAGTGTGATTTTGACTCCGGAACCCTCGCAGGTTCGCTTCCTTCTCCCGGTTTTCGACCACTTTTGCGTTTTAAGCTCGTTTTTCATGATTTTCGCGTGGGATTTTCACCCAAACTTATAT